TCACCCCGTCCTCCCGTGCAACTCTGCCATAGCGAGTCGCACACTCATTGCAAATCACGTTTTTTGCCAATCGAAGTTACGGGCCAAACACAGATGCGTGACTTTTGATGTCTGAAAATTTCTCTACGGACACAACTTTTTGCGACATTTTTACGTGGTGGCACAGCAGTTTTCCTCGAATAATTATTTACAAAGCCTTTTCTCTTCGCAACTTTACCACTTTCGCAGCTGCAACGAGTCGCAATCTGCGAGTCCTTTGGAGTCTGTTCGAGAATCGAATCTCTAGGACAAGAGCATACTACCACCGCGCCACCGCGCCTTCGATTTTCATGGCGCTGCGGGGCCTCGTGTGTTGAGAACCGAAGTGCTTTTGACCGTTTCGAGGATTCGCGCCCTTATTCTTCAGTTGTAAAGGCCCAGATACACACAAACACGGCGATCAATCGCCGCGAGTGAAAGACGAAAGCCAATGGAGAGCCTTGATTTCGATAAATCGACGTCGATATATCGCTTCCGCCGCTGCGTCGCGGTGATCGCACTATGTTTGGCGCAATGCGTGAAGTATTTATGCAGTCTTGTAGGCGCTATACGTTTCACGCCAACCGCTCCTGACCGCACTGTGTTTGGCGCAATGCGTGAAGTATTCGTACAGTCTTGTAGGCGCTGTGCGCTTCACGCCGCGCTGCCCGCTGCTGAACTGTCTTTGACGCAATGGGTGAAGTATTCATGTAGTCTTGTAGGCGCTAATATGTGTTACATGCCGACCGTCCTGCCGAGGGCGAGGGCTTGTCCTTTTCATCTTAAGTCCTCGTCGTCATTCCTCTCTGCGCTAAGCTCCAGGCCAAATTGCGTGTTTAGTTCCTCACTTAACTCGACTAATTAAAGATGCTGGCTCTTGTATCACCGAAAAACGACAAAATTAGAAGTTACTGCACTCTCAGGAAAGAGAGATTTTGCTCCCTTTTCTCATTGATAATTTTTTTTTCTGAATCCGATTTTTTTTTTACCTACATTTAAAAAAATTGCAAAATTGGCCGCCCCCTAGATTTGCCGCCATGGGCCGCGGCCCATGTGGCCACCCCCTTAATCCGGCCCTGCAAACAAGTTAATTAGGTAGGTAGTTTTCCTTCAAAAACATACTAACTTTGGCGAAGACTTACATAACTTCGCCATCTGAGAAGCGCAGTTTTCAATTCAGCCATTAGCATATGATATTTGGGGACCAATTTTAACATACTGCCTTACGGCCGATACTAATGTGGGTCATCCTCATCGCTCTTGAAATTGGACTGCATTTTGCAATTTGGAATTAGGTATACATTCTGGCTCTTCTGGAAAAACACTTATGTGCATAGGGAAACTAATGGCACATACGTTGTTTTTAAACCGGGCCGGAATTTATACTTCCTAATTGCAAAATGCAGTCCAATTTGCAGTCTCGTTTCCATAACTTGCCGCTCTCCGCATTTTTGCAGTCAGAGCTGCAGTCCCCTTCCCTCTTACATCCATCCCTGCATTCTTTGATCGTTTCGTCAAACATGAACGGTCATATCAACCCACCAAATAGTTAATAATTGGACTACCAGTAGTATTCAAATACTATTGCGGCTCCGGAGGAGCAGCTATCTTCATGATTAAAGTCAAATCTAAAGGCCACCCAAGTAACTAAATGCGAAGCACACCCCGCATTCATCGATCTTGCATCATATTTAAGTACACATTCATGGCCATTTAGGCCATACAGGCACGTTATACTGACAGATTTTTATTCTGCATGTTAGAGATTAAGAGGACGAATGAAAATAACAAGAGGGATTAAACAAAATAGAAACATATAATTTGAACAAAACAAAATTCGAGGTATACAAAATTGAAATTTACAAAATACCTACGCCATCATTCAAGTAGATACCATTACGTTGTTTTACTCGGTCTTACCACGGTGGAGAGGGGGCAAACAAAATGCCTTAAGAAATACTTGAGCCGCCCCTGAACATGCTAAACTTGAGATTATAAGAATTTTTATCCGCAGGTAGATTGACTTTCGTTTGATATACAAGAACGGAAGGGATGAAAATGATGAAATCAACCCCCATTTTATTTTTTAAAAAGAAAAAAAAAGGGATATACCTATTGCAAAGTTGTTGAAAAAAGTATCAGACAAAAAAACGATGGTGCTCCTAATGATTTTCATTTGAAATTAATTCTCACATTCATGACAGCTTTCAAGATTGAGGCTGTAATGATAGTGAAAGAACTGAGTAGCAATAGAAGAATCAGATTTTGTAATCGGTCAAATTCTTTGAGAAATATGACTCAATAAAATAGCAGGATTGCCATAATTTTAGACAAAAATGACCTACTAAACATTTGGAGATCCCACATAACCCTGTCTGAAGTGTCAAGTCATATAAAAGATTAAAAAGTAAATAGAAAATATTAGACCAAATCCAAAAACTGAAGCACACTCTCACATAGTATTGCTTTGGACCACCAATTCAATCTGTGATGAGCGATCCTTATGAGTATGAGGGTTCATCTCAGACAAAACTAGTAGCAGTATTATTTTTCTTGTGACATTTGACAAAGCGATAATTATAGTTAAATCAAATACCTACCCCTTCTATGCAGGAGCTCTATTATAAATGAAACTAAATAGTGGCTAATACCATTAAAAATGACTGACCTCAGAAAAAAATAAAAATTATAAAAAATCAGTACATAAAAGAAACAGAAATTATGAGCAACGCTCACAAAGTAAAACATCTACAAGTAGTTAGTGACAGATAAAAGGAAAGAGGATTCAAAGTACTTAGAAAAAATGTCATTGGTGGACCGATCTTTTAATTTTAGGGACAGGAATAGAAAAAAAGTGTCTTCAAAAACTGAGGAAAATCAACATGACATTACTTTCAGACAGCTTTCAATTACAAAAGGTTTAAAGACTTACTTAATCTTTAGTTATCATAGTTATATTCAAGAGATTACAAATAAATTGTAATAATGATTTTAAAAGGCAACCAATGTTTCATTTAACCCTTAAAATATAGTAATTGTGGCTAAAATTAGACACAACATGAGTCACTTCATTCTAAATGCAAAATTGATTTAGGGCTTGAATGTCTGATTCCTGCATAGTTTCCGACAAACTGAAATTTACTGTCATTAAATTGCCAGGAAAAAATGGAAAAATCACATGTTCTATAATATTTTAATGCTAGCAAAGAAAAATAAATAGAAAAATAAATATATTATAATTGGTATAGATCTGGAGCTGTCTTTTCAAGTCTTCAACTTACTTACAAAAAAAAATGTAGGTAATAAATTTCATCAGCTACTCTAAGTCTTTGACCAAAAATAATGAGAACATTCCTCTTTTTTAATATTTTTCATTTTTTAAGCAAGAGAGAACCTCACCTCCCTGTATTAAGAATTTACAACACCACCCAGCCTAATTGCTAGGATAATCAAAGATAGCATTACTCAAACATTTTATAAACAGGTATAAAAATTTTAAAATAAGAATTATAAATTGTAGGATGGCTTAATTAAACAGTCCACATAAGAGGTTAATATTCTTTACAACAGAAAATAGAAAATGATTGTGGGAGTATTTCTTTTTTTTTTCACTAAGCGTTAGATTAAAAATATTGAGGGCTACCTGACAGAATTATTTTTTAAAAATAGGAATAGTATCACAGTTGAAAATTCAGCCTATTGACATTACTCAGATTAGTATCCCCAGTCCAAATAAGCCTACCCAGGGATAGAATACTTGTTATGAAACTTGGGATTTGATGGTAGGCTCTGAACCTTCATATTTTTTTTAAATGTATAATCCAACACCATTTCTGAGCAAGACAACTGATGAACTGGTACATATATTTTGTTGTGCCAATTTTATAGATTCAATTTCACAGTAAAAGGAAGTTAAAACATTGGGAGTGACTAACATGAAGTACATTATCATGTACACATGTAAATTCTTTAGGTAAAACTGCCTCAGGTTTTTTTTTCTTCCCTGCAAAACATTGGTTGAGTCAAATTTTTCCTTAGCTTGCACAAAATATGCACTGATCTGAAGGTGAAATACAAAGCCTTTGGTAATGAATTGTTCATACATCTCACGTTAATAGATTCTTTGAGACTTGAAAGCCATGCATTAGGTATCAATAAATATTAAACTTGTTTCTCATTACGATGTTTTTGAATTTTATTAGAACCATTTTCTAAAGATTGAATCCACAGGAAATAAATAGATACGTAAGTATTTTCAAGGGACTTAATTTAGCATTAAAAGTAAATATGTTTTTTAGAGCTAGCATAAATGTAGGTACTTAGGACAACTGAATCAAATTGATTTAATAATAACGAACGACCAATTTTTGCATTTTTTAAAGGGAAAAACATTAAAACAGCATTAAAAAAACATTCCTTACATACGGGCTTCCACAGATTACATAACTTCCGCCTTTATTTAACAGAAATCATGATACATGATAAGGATCATAAATATCACTAATAAGGTAAAGTTTTTGCAAGTGCATACATTACATCATCAAATTTTGAAGTCATTGTACCTCAAAGTTATGTTAAAATTACGAAAGGAATAATTGTATTAATTGATTTTAACAGCTCAACAACAAGCCTTTCATTGGCAGAGTACCATCCGAGTTACAGAACTCTTTTTAGAGATTTTCTTTTCTGAATAAGACTTGCTTGATGGCTGCAAGCCAAATCAACAGAGAAAAGAAAAAGTAAACTCCATTAAGCCTTTGTTAACTCTGATGGCTCGTAAATAGCTTTCGTTAGTTGTACTACGGACCTCCTTTTTAGGGACTTAGACCTCAAAAATACATGCAATTCTTTTAGGGCATGTTTGAACTTGCTGTGGATCTTTTTCTTTTTCAAATGATCTGATTAAGACTTGACAAATGTCATAGAACAAGATATAGATTTATACAAAAAAATTCCTGGAATTACTTTCAAAAGAATGGTCAATAATTGATATGAACACAGATAGAATAGATTCGGCTTCAGAATGAAAGAGGTTAATTTTCAACAACTGTTCATCACAACCAGCTATCCCAAAAAAAAAACAGTCTACTGAAGAGGTAGGTAAACTGTACCAGAAAAAACAATGTGAATATTTATACATACTTCAGTACATAAATGAACAAATAAATCCGTACTAAATTAACCTGCACTTTCAAACAGGACTTGTCTGACTTGAAGAAATGCCTCTATACTGGTTACCTGAAAAAAAAATAAACATAAGAAAACCTAGGTATTAAGTCTCCTTCAAATGAGTTATTTCATTAAAACATGAAATTTGCAACAACAAGCAAAAATATAATATAATTGTTAACACCCACTTAAGAAGTGGATTGACAAAAATGCATTGCAATTCCTCAGCTGATAGTTGAGCCATTTCTATTTTGCCTCTTTCTTCATTCTCGCATCCCGCATTGAGAGTTTCTTTTTATTTGTTCCATAATATCACATGTTTATTTGTTCTTGTAAGCATTAAGTGCAGAATTTGTGGGGGAAAAAAAATTATACACATTACCGCTGCGGCAAAAATACAAGACCTTATATCTTTCATGTACAACACAATTTTTGAAATGAGAATGTACTCTTTTTAAAAGGGGAATTAGAAGTACTTAAACCAGTGAGGTAAACATGATCATAATTATTAATTTGTAATTATTTTGCATTTTTAGATAAAGGTAAAAAACAGTTCTATTACCCACCTGATGTCCACATAATATAGCATGTGTTGCCTTGTCTTTTGCTTTTCGATACTTTTGTTGGAAAAGTTTACCGTCAAAGTAAGGATGGATGAATGTCTGCAAAAAAAGGTATAACTAAATTAGAGCTGGATAAGAAATAGCTCACTTCAAAAAATAGCTAGCTAAAGTAAAAATGATCGATATCCAAAAATAGAACGAATCAAACAAACTGAGGCTAATCAGAGGCGATAAAACCAATTTAAGGACTTTTGGTATGTACGGCCAGAAATGATCTGCTTGGACTGGTAATTTTCATATTTTGTCACGGTTCATCCTACCTTTCTACTCGTCCGATTTCTTTTATTGCAGCAGATTTGCAGCTATTGACAGGTGAATGTCCCTGGATGAGCCTACTCTATTTTTGGAAATATGACCCAAGTTTTTGTATATTACATGATAAAATGGTGAATACTCCTACTTAAACCTTGTAAATATTCAATTTTAGTCACAGTTTGCTCTAAAGATCTACTGAGCCAATCTTCATGAGTTTTCCCGATATCAATAGAAGAGAGTCCCTAGATGAGCTTGCTCTGTCTAGATGAACTCACAGGTGTTCGCAAAGCAAACGTAAGAGGGCGCCAAGCGCCGTGCGGCTAGCGGCTAGGAGCGTGTTCCCAAGTTTTACATATTAAATGAATGCTAATATGTAACATGCTGTGCTAAGATATTTTTTTTTTTTTTTTTTTTTTGTGGTAAATTTATGTAGAAATTCTGTAAATATGGTGAATCTTGTTTTGAAATACCATTTTAAATGTCAATGTTAATGATAATAAAAATAATAAATTATCAAAAAAAGTAATAACTCACCTTTGCTGGAGGAAGGGGATAGCCACATGCACTGAGGAGAATGATTGTGGACCATAATGAGCGCATATAAATTGTGGCTATGCGAACCGCACGCAGATCTACAGGATCAGAAGGGAGACTGGCCAGTCTTTCGAGTGGAACTGTTGGTAAAGTTACTACTGTTGCTATCATAGCTTCGATTTCCCATGTAGCCAAAATTCTGTTATCCTATAATAATTAAAATTTCAAAAGAGGCAGGTATTTACCGAGATTGATAACTGGCCAAAGGCTAAAGAGCAAATTAGAATTTTTTTGGATTTTGACTTTTTTCTTGAATCATCTAGTAAGGATGTGTACCTCAGGAATGAGGCACTTTAGTTTTGTCAGTGGGTAGGTGCTTGAAAGAGCTTACAAAAGTTCAGGAAAATAGCTCAGATAAAAAAGGGTAAACTGATTTTCCATTATCATGTTCCTTCATCACAGTTGTGAGATAACTTCATTAAAACCAAAAAGTGCTGAAAATTTCATCTGAAAGTGGTGTCAAAGGATCTTAATTCAGCCTTCCATTGTTACAAATACGGTAAAAGGACCTATATCTGAACATAGGCACGAAAAGAACCTTACCTGCAAAGTTTGATTGAAGCTGCGTCACTAAAAGGAATAACTAACTCAAGAGTGTCCTACATTATGTATCAAAATAAGTTCGGTCAATATTGGATACATATAATTATTCTTTAAAAAAAAAACTGGGAGGAGATATATTTCTAAAATAAATTAACTTACAACAATGTAAAACATCACAGCTGTAGGTAGCACCAAATTTTGAGGCAGGTGCCTCAATTTTGCTGGATTTAAACGCGATGAGATACCATGAGCAAATAGCTGCCATCGGGCATTCTGTAAGTCCTGGGTCCTATCATCACTCCAAAGAGCAAGCAGTCCAGGATGCGGATCTGAAATTTAGGAAAAAATACGCAGCTGTAACAGTTAAAGTTATAGTAGTGAAAAAATGCAGAATTTTGCACTGAGCCAATTAACTCAAGGAAAAGTATGTAAGCTCACTACTAATGGATTCTCTTGAAGCTTGAGAAGTTTTTATGCAGAAGGTGGTTAAGTTCTTTTCGGTAAAATAAATTTGACACTTTTGAGTAGACAGCTAGACCCACATTGACTGTATCAATGATGTACAGCCATGGTGGATAAGAAGCTTTCCCATTTCAGGAAAGTTGAAGATGTTCAAGGCTACATTTTGTTTTTAATTATTCACCTGCTGTTAACTGTGTTAAGAGATGGGTTTGTAAGTGATGTAATAGATAGTTGGTAAGTTACGTGCAGGTGAAGACGCAAAATAATTTAATTAATTGCACATTAAGAACCATTATTTTACAACAAGATATATGCGAGTGGATTGAGACTAATGCTTTTGAGTCAGTTTTTAGAAGATTTATAAAGATTGACTTCAGGACAAAAATAGAGTCGTTCAGAACCACAAGCTTAAATTAACTTGTCAGAAGCCGCCATTGATCTCAAAAAAACTTTCAATGCGATGTTAGGCTCTAATTTTTAGGGTTTGATCTGTGAGCATTTGCATAGTGCACGCAGCATTGCTGTGGCAGTAGGAGTTACAAGAATTGACTCAACTCACGATTATGAACGACATTTGATTTCTCTATGAGCACTGGTTTTCCATGAAGTCCATAGAATAACATACGAGCTCCAAGAATTGTGTCAAAAGAACTTCAAATTTTAAAAATTTCCAGGGTTTACTTTAAAAAATGATTTTGATGGTAACTGATAAAAGACATATACAGCTCATTTATACAGCTACCTCAAGACCATTTAAAGTCAAAATACAAGTTTAAGATTCTAAAAAATTTAAAAAACTTTTAAGACAATTTTGAACCACTCACTTGCATAAAATCTTCTTTTCACGGAAGCGGACGCGTTTCGGAGGTTACCTGCCCTCCATCATCGGCGCGACTGGTCAATTCCAATCAGCTGATTTCGGTCCCGGNAAATTTTTTAGAATCTTAAATTTTACTCTTGTGTAGTGTTTTAAACTCCTAAAAAAAAAATCGTTTCATCAAAATACAAGCTTTGATAGTTTCACCGTCAATGTGTTCTTTTATTTGACAGTATTAAAACTTATTGAAGATTAATTGAAACACTAACCAGAGGGAGGCACAGGCTTAATTCGTGTTGGTTCATTTAGACTGTTTGGCCCTTCCATACACCACTCCAGAACAAACTGAGGCTCCAGATTTAAAGGCTTTTCATGGAACAAAATTCCATAGAGCCTTGTCCTCATCGGACGCAGCAGACGAGCAAATGGAGGCAGATCTCTCTCACGATAGTCTTCAAAAGCTGTGGAAGTTTCGAAGGGTTCGCCATTCACAATGGCGAAAACAGTTGCTGTAGAGTAGTTTGATCTGTGCAGTTCTTCTGCTCGCTGCAAAATGGCATTCCAATGAGGATGATTTGGCGCCGTTGTGCCTAGAGAATGGAACATACGTATAGATGAAAAAAATTACAAGCACAAAAAAAATCATAGGTTAAAAATGAAATGGGATTAAAATCAGAAGATGTATTAAAATCCACAATAGGTCCAAATTTACAAAATTTGATTGCCTTAAAAAGTTTGATTGAATTTGGATAGGCGAAATCAATTAATCATTTCAATCAACTGTGGCATCGATCATTTTTGTTGTGCATTGAAAAATATTACGAACAAAAGTAAGTAACAACAAAAGTAAGTAACAACAAAAGTAAGTAACAACAAAAGTCGAATTTGCATTATTTTGTCAATAGGATTTGTATTACAAAATAACAACTTGAAAAAGTTGATGAAACTGCACCATGAAAAAAAGGAAGTTTAAAAGGAAAATATTTGACTACTAAGTAAATTCAAGAATTAGAGATGAGTATTGTATTCCATCACACAAAAAGAGAAAAAATTTTATAGGAATTCTATGTCTCACCACAGAGCACACCAAACCTCAACTGACAATACGTTTCAGAAAACCTTAAGGATGAAAGGAGCACAACAAAACTGAATAGGCTTTTAAAGTCTGAGAACCATGGTTATTCCAACAAAAGATACTTCGTAACATTTTGAGAGGAATTCAATTGATAAGGGGCTATTCTTACGATAACTTACGTTTCACAATCTTTGTGGAGGATAAGTAGCTACGAATGCTCGTTGCAAAAACATTGGCAGCCCTTGGATCATTCAAGGCTTCTCGAGCGATATGAGGCAAAGCTTGAAAGACAGCTTCTCCAGGCGGGAACTGTTGTATATACCTTGCTAGAGCTGGGAAGAGAGTCTTAAAATTGACATCATAGCCGCCACCGGTATACTTCCGGCAGAGGAACCTGTGAAAAGGCTGCAAGATGCACCAATGAATAAAAAGGTCTATTTCAGCAGAATTATAGTGCATGATGAGATCTTGATCTAGGTAAAACACAAATTTATTAGTTACGAAGGTACCGTACCCAATCAGAAGATTTTTACTGGCGAGTGGCAAACACAAAATAGTTTATTTCTTCTCTGCTATTTTAATATGACAATAAAGCAGTATAAAATGACTTAACAAAACAGCTACACTGAAACTTATTTGCTTGAATGAGGAGTTTTTTGGAGATAGAATTCCAGATAAATTTAGTGACTGATTATTATTATTATTATTAACACCAGCTTTATATTTTACCTATTTACTAAAAGAATAAACAAATCAGGAAGGAAGGAAATTACCTTGAGAAATTTTCTAAAGAAGGTAGACACATTTTCACAACTTGACTTTAAAGTCAGATACATCAAGGTAATTTTAGTGAAAATTTTGGGGCAAAAGCTATAAAAAAGACATTTTGCAATTTACCTTCAAATCGGCAAAACTGACAAGGTCATTTCCTGCTAATGTAGCAAACAGAGGAAGCTGAGATGTTTCCAGACCTAGATATTCTGCAAACCCTCTTCGATCGTAATTGAAAGTTCGCATCGTGCGAAGATTGAAATGCTGTGCAGAAAGGTAGTACGTTCCACCTTCATAGATTAAGTAGTCTGAATCTTGGCCGAATATGGCTAGACACTTTCGCTCACGAGCATAATGTGCAATTTCTGTGTCAGTCTCATCAACGGACTGATAAACCTACCATCAAAACAAAACGAATATTAAAATATGATTAATAAAGTTTCAAACGGTCAGTAATAAACAGAAGAATTTTTCTTACTTTTGCATAAAGAAAATTGCATAAATTCACCTGCCTGAATTCAACTGAGTCCTTACGTCAAGATATCGGTTGAAATATAAAATCCAATGCAGATAATTTTTTTTTATTTTTTTGTTTGATAATATATTCTGGTTGTTTATGAGTCAGTCAATTATGTTGCAACCATTTACTGAGCAAGATAAATCAAGGCTCAAAACACAAGTTTAGTTAGATAAAGAATCTCTTATCCTAAACATAAGTTTGTTTAGGCTGTTTCAGCAATTTCCTAGGGCTTTAAAAAATTTACAGCAAATGATCCTTTGAATCTGGATAGCTAATTCATTTAAACCAGCTATGAATTTTGCTGCTGTACCATATTTTAGGATACCTAGTTAAACATTTTCAATGAGGCTTGTAATTTCATGTGGTTTTGTAGGCACCTGACTTATAAGATCTCAAAAATTCATTTCTTCAGTAAGTTCTTTCTTAATTTTGCCAACTTCACCTCTCATCCCTAAGTCTTTACAACAACACACACACAACAACACATTAACAATCTACAAATTCCGGAACTGGATATAATTACCTCACAGCCAAAAATATGCTCAAGATAATGCTGACTGAGCGTGCCAACCCCAGGTGGAAGAGAGAAGAGCGACTGATGCAAATCTGTAGTGCGCAATCCATCAGAAAGCTGGTCAAACATTTGGTAGACTCTTTCCAACCTTTCAAAGCATCGCTTGATCCACTCTTTTCGCTTTGGGTTCACCGTGCCACCTCCGAAATAGAATACTAACTTCACGCCAATTTGCTTGAAAGCGTGCACAAACTTGCCAAGTTTCTCAATGTACTCCTTGTATTGACCTCCAGAGACCCAGTCGAGACCCTTGTAAATATGACCCAGGCAAGATGAGCCATCAACGACAATAACAGGCTCCTTGCCACCTGTTTGTCGCCTGAGGAAACAAAAGAATAATTGAATTAAACTGGAGATTTCACACCATCTGGAAGAAGCTGACAGGAACAGAGCCTGGTGGTCCACACCAGGAAAAGTGTCTAGTGAGGGGCGGAATCGGATAAGTGGTGGGAGGTGGGGTCAGGTGAGTGGCTAGGTCTATTTTCTAATGGATGATTGGCTTTGTCAAGCCTAGATCCTTTGAATAAGCCGATATGGCGGTGTTTCAAACCTTAACAAGTAACTGACTTCACTCCTCACTCGCCACCTTTTGTATCATGGACAGTGGAAGAAATTTGCTGGCATAATTCACTATTCTGCAATTTTTTATCTCTACAAATCTAAACGATCTTGTTCAATTCCAAACAGCCCAATAAATAAACAAACTGAATGTGCAGTTATTTTCATTCTTGACCTCAGGTCGAACTTGATTTTTTTCCCCTTTTTTCCTTCATTTCCCTGGATGACTAATTCCTAGATGCCTCTATGATCAAAGGAATGTTAAGCAATTTTTTATTTTTTCCACTGCTTCAGCAAATTAGTTTTCTGATGGAAAGTTAGGAAAAATTGAGCACTTTGGCATCGTATTGCCTGGGCTCAAATGACACTTGTGATATTTTGCCTAGAAGGGTACAGTGTGGTGAGGTAAGGTCTTGTCATTTTTTGTTTTAAATCTATCTTAAATGTTCTATAGTGCAAGAGAAAAAAAATTATACTTTACTCGAACTTACACTTCAACATGAATGAACCAAACTTCGGATAATTTTTAAGTCATTTGAAACAAACAATTCTGATACTTGAGCTATGCCTGTATGAATATAAATACTTGGTAGCGACTGAAGTCCATGTAAATTTTCATTTTGGAGGAGGATGAGGTGCAATCAGTGAAAAAAGTAATTTGATAATGAAAACTTACTTGTAGTCTTCAACAAGTTGCTCAATGCTGACTTCATAGTAACAATTTGGTGGACAAAATTTCTCAATAAAAGTTTGTAAGCCTCGTATTCCCATGGTGTAAAATACAAAATAAGAACATTAAATTTGCCACAATTTTTTACTTTTCATTTGATGTCACTGAAAACAAAACAAAAAAGTAAAATTGAAACAAAGGAGAGGATACTTCATTTTCACTAGTACTTATTGTTTTCATTTTTTTTTCGTACTAACTTATGAGATTAATATTTTTGTTACAAGTGTTTACTTAGATTAATTATTATGCAAGCCATGGACTCCACCAAACGCATTCAACTGAGACTCGAGTCAACAACTAATGATAGCACATTGGTTACCTACTCTGGTTGTCTGACACAAACAAATTGCTCGTTGGTTGCTCTGGTAGGTTTGTTGTCTATCTGCCATTTATCATTCTTTCACAAACCTAAGAGTCCACCATACTAGGGGACGTTTGCCTGCATGCCTTAAATGCAAGGGCTATGATGCATTCTGTTACCAGCCACTGGTGCATTGATTAATGGATGTACAATTGTACATAATATAGGAACAACCATATTAAGGACCAATGCAATGGATCTTTTGCACCTCCAGGTCAGTGCAACTACATTTAAGGTAACCATTTCCTTGCCAATGGTTCACCAAAAAGAATAGTTTAAAAAAATTTGAGCAAATTTCATTTACATAATCAGCGAGTGCCATAAGAAATGAGAGAGACTATTCATTGAATGTCATCAATATTCAATTGATTCAAGCAAGACTTAAGTAAGGATACACCTAGATATGCGCGCTACTAAGTTGAATAAATCAAGTTAGAAAATATTCCATGAAACTATGAATAGAGGGGTCTTCAGCTCGGCTGGCACTTGTTTCCATTCTGTTCGCAAGCGACTGCAACTTAGTTCTCCAATTGGGATCAAGGATTGACTACGCTCACGATCAGGCCACGGTCAATCCTCGATTGCTATTAGACAACTACATTACGGTTGCTTGTAAATGGAATACATACAATTTCCGAATTGGCTGACAACACCTACCGCAAAATGAGACCAACACAGTTTGATCTCCTCAATGTGCATCAATTTTAGATGATATTTGAAACAAGTTGTGAGGAGACCAGCTTTGCAAGTGCTTTTTCCCACCTACTTATCCATAGCTACGAAGGGAATACGGTAAGTCCCCTTTCATAATTTCTCCTTCATGAGATCATTCAAGATACAGACTTTTTTTCTGAAAGACCCGATTAAAACAGTTGAACGGTGCTGCTGAAAAGTTGACATTCTGTGCTATGATAATGATGATGATGACTAAATAATCAAGCTGGTTGTTGACTTACATTACATTTCAGACTCGATTACACTACGATAGTAGCTATTCTCACTGCAGAAAACAATACACATATACTATACTGAAACTGGTTAAATATTTTGAAATCTTCTACGTACCATAACAAATTCTCACTGTTTCACTGAAAATAAATATTAAATTTTGTTTCTTCAGGTAATGGGGCCTCTTTTGGTCCTCCTCAGGTAATGACTCCCAGGTGCCCATGCAAAACCTAACCTAACTCTCCAGTTCAAAACAAAAACAAAGACGACGAAAGCGCTGAGTATAATGTGTTGCCTATCCTTCACTTTCAAGGAAACTTTAATGAACACAATCAAAGCGGGACTGTCACTGTATAAGCGCATAAGCGCCAGCTTTATCCGTCAATGCATTATTGGCCATTGTATCCCTGCGTGAAACAACTTGGAAAATCGGACAGCCTCAAAAATTTCGAATAATATATTTATGTATTTGACTATGGATTTCAAAGCTTACTGTTTTATTTTTTTCCCGGCTATTAAAAAAAGACCGACATAAAAGATGTTACCAGGCTTTTTGAAAAAATAATCGTGTTCATTCTTGATACATCGGTAAAAAACGGTCAAAACAGAACCAAAGTGGACCTTTTACGATTTTCAGGTGCCTCTGCATGTTTTACTGTCCCTTAAAAAAATCCCGCTTGTGGCTCCTGGTGAGAAATGAAATTTCAAAAAGCGCTTCTGGGTGAGCGCTTCCCCAAAGTTCTTTCCCTATCCATTTTCAAAGGGTGTTACCTCACAAAGGGGACACAGCTTACAAGTTCTCTGGGAAATTCGTATTTAATTGTGGAAAATTTGACAACCCTCGAATGTCTATTCGACATTTTTCCTTCCAGCCCGTGTCCCACGATCAAGTGGACCCATCAAATACTCATCAAATGCAAGATGTTGACTGGTTCTCACGCAAAGTCCGCTATCAAAAGTCAGCGGGCCGTCAAATGTTGATGAACCCGCCATCATGCGTTTGCTGAGTGCATTTGACCGTGGGAAACGGGCTCTGCGCTTCAGTATTGATAATAATCTAGCATCGGACGGTGATTATCGGTAATAACGCCTTGAGGCAACTATTCGTGCTCTGTGGGCATCCGTGTTGCATTCTAAAAATTGAAGGCACTCCGATCAGGCCCATGTAGCAGTGCTCAAAGCGACACGCTGCGCGCTGTCACGACTCTGTATAGCGGTGGGATATGATACCCTGATTTGTGGAAATGATGCGAAAAAATAGTTTTCTGTCCTCTTACCTAAGTTTTTACCTTTTTATCGGAAAATTTCCTCTTGTCACGTCTCATCAACGGAAAAGATTGAGCTGGCAAGCTGGCAAGTTCCTTATCGGAATAATCGTTTTGCATAGTTCATATTCTTTTGTTATATTCCGAGCCATTTGTTTATCTTTAATCCTCGTAGAAAAACCATCCATTTGCTAAACACAATTCTACCTGAAGCGCACTTAAGCGCATTCATGACTGCAAAAATGTCAAAGAAAATCGAAAAGGTCAGCTTGCATGAAGGCTATTTCCATTTAAATCTTCCGTCACATTCTTACGGCGCAATGATACGACTATTTGAACTCTCCGGAATGCGTGAGGTATCACGCCGCATTTGATGGCGTTTTCTAAACAACCAAGTTCCGATACCCGGATTATCGTTTTGCATAGTTCATATTATTTTGTTTCCATTTCTAACCACTTGTTTAATTATGATCCTCCTATAAAAACCATCCATTTGCTAAACACAATTCTACCTGAAGCGCACTTAAGCGCATTCATGACTGCAAAAATGTCAAAGAAAATCGAAAAGTTCAGCTTGCATGAAGGCTATTTTCATTTAAATCTTCCGTCGCATTTCTAAGGCGCAATGATACGACTATTTGAACTCTCCGGAATGCGTGAGGTATCACGCCGCATTTGAAGGCGTTTTCAAAACAGCCAAGTTCCGATACCCGGATTATCGTTTTGCGTGGTTCATATATTATTTTGTTTCCATTTCTAACCACTTGTTTAATATAATCATCGTAGAAAAACCACCCATTTGCTAAACACAATTCTACCTGAAGCGCACTTAGGCGCATTCATGTCTGCAAAAATGTTAAAGGAAATCGAAAAGGCCAGCTTGAATGAAGGCTATTTCCATTTAAATCTTCCGTCACATTCTTACGGCGCATTTGAAGGCGTTTTCAAAACAGGCAAGTTTCGATACCCGGACTATCGATTTGCATAGTTCATATATTTTGTTTCCATTTATAACCACTTGCTTAATTATAATCATTGTAGAAAAACCACCCATTTGCTAAGTACAATTCTAGCTGTAGCGCACTTCAGCTACGCATTCACCACTGCAAAAATGTCAAAGGAAATCGAGAAGCCCAGCGTGCATGACAGCAGGCCCGCCACAAGGGTGGGCCCTTGTACTGGGTCCCTGGTACCGGGGCCCGGGCCCTGGAGGGGGCCCGTGTTACCCGTGAAAAACCACTACGAATTCACATGCATCCCTTGTTTCGTATGAAAAAGGGAAAAATTTACCCTAAAAATTTCGCAAAAGGTGAATAGATTTTCAGAAACACGCTGAGGCACCGTAGAATTCTTCTTAAATTTTCAAAGAAGTATACTTCCTGGAAAATGTCTGTTTATTTTCAAGATTTTCAGTACAGAGGGATATTTTTAGTAACTGCGTTTCATTTTCTTCCGTCGTGAGATGCTAAGAGTCTCCAGTTTGGGCATCCTCGACTTCAATGGCTCATGGCTCAACTCCCTTGCCATAGACAAACGAAGGGGGAGTCCAGGGGGGCCTGGTCCTTTAAGAACGGAAAATAGTAACATATCGATGATGAAAATACCAAACCACGTATCTCGTTTGCGGTGTTTAAAAATCTACGCTCGCATTTTACTTTTTTGAAGTCGACCAAATCAATATCATTCCTTGAAATTTTCGCAGAATTTTCTCTGCATAAAGAGGAAAAATCACAAAAATTTTCAAGACTAGACGTTAAGTAGTTTTTCATTTAAAAAATAAAGTATGACAGGAAGTCTGCGACGTCGCAAACCGAGATACGTGATTTGGTAGTTTCACCGTCGATATGTCCCCCCCCCCCAAAAAAAAAAAATGTTCCAGATGTATTGAATGCAACAATTTGCAAGTATTTTGTGCTGAAAGTAGAAAAAAAAACATAATTATTCCGCAGAAATTGATGGAAAAATTATTCATGGAAGCTTCAAAATGCGTCCGATTAGTCGTATAGATTCTAAAATTTCTCGGGGGATGCCCCTCGGACCCCCTCCCCCACCGTGCTTGGGGCCCGGACCTTAAAACTGGTACCAGGGCCCGAGATGGGATGTGGCGGGCCTGAGCGCACTCTAGGAAAAATTAAATCGACCTATTTGAGTACTTTTACTACAATCGGGACTGTGGGTGGATGTGCCTCTATATTTGCCGCGGAGTGCTCATCTGCTCACGAGTGGCCGATGCGCACTTTTCGGAGGCATGCTTCAGCCGCTCTGCCGTGCTAAGGAAGAACGCCGCATGAGCCTTCAGACGTTGCCATGTTTCCTTCGATAAAAATCAAATTTAGTGGGAAACTCGTGAATGTTTTTCCTTAAATTTTCAGACGTTTTTTAATTTTTCTAATCAATCTAATCTTTTCAATTTAATCTAAAATATGTTAAAATCAGAGACAAAAGACCCTCCACTGGCCTCCTAGCGACAGGTGGAAGCTTTTACTTTCGGGGATTCAACAGTTCCTTATGGACACTTATAAGGGATCAACAGTCATCACTCCAATTTCGGCTGTTGACCTACCTACATGGTGGATCACGAGCTTCGGCTGACGTCATAAGCCAAACAAGTTTCCCAAACTTCGGTCATTTTCGGCTTGTTTGCAAAACATAACTTCTAACACGTTGTTGAACATCAACCATGTAGGTAAGTCAACAGTAGAATGCTGAAGTCCCGAAAGTAAAAGCTTCCACCATGGCCAAGATACTCGTGGAGGGTCTCTTGTCTCTGCTTAAAATGTCTAGGAAAAATGTGCGTAACTTTCCTAAAAAATATAGGTTTTATCCACGAAAATTTGGCGACTCACGAATGTTCATACGTTGTTCCTCCTTAGCGCGGCAGTGCTTCACATCGGTTCCTCGCTGATCTGCTTGCCCCAATGACCGAAATAAAAGCGTCCGAATTTTTGTCGCACCACAGAGGAGTTATTTATCCTCGAGCGGCCGAAAAACTCGCCAATGCTCCCATTTCTCTTTCCTCTTTCGACTAAATCTGCGTGCGCGAGGATGCAGCAGTGTGCGTAGGAAAGAATTAAAATCATTCCGCGGATTCTCGATCAGCTGATTAATGCTAAAAAAAAAAAAAAAAAAAAAAAAAAAAACCAGGAAGATAAGATGCAGGGAAAGGACATGACCGCTTTTTGACAACTCTGCGAAATTTCGTCACACAGTTGACAGATTTAATCAAAATTTATTGTTTTGTTGAAGCACTTAATTGATACCGTATGATCAGTTTCATACGTCAGCAGGACTTGCGTATTGGAATGGAAACGAGTAATTTTATTTATCACGTTTAAAATTGTGATTTGGAGATATGAAAATCCCACAAGCTTTCCTTTAGAACTGGACGGTCCCACGGAATGGAGTGGAGGTGTCCCACCATTACAAAAATAACAGCACGCCTTGACCTTAAACAGCCTGTTTAAGGTCCAACTTTATCTTGTCACAGCGGATGGGACAGTGCTCGCTTACGTTTCAGCATTATGAGAATGACCAAAATGTTATCTTGGTTTCAACCACTTATTAATTCATGGCTAACGGAAGGGTAGTTCTACCTAAATCTTTCATAATTTTCAAAATTTAACCCACAAAAAGTCACTTCATGCGACAAAAAATGCACAGTAATGTATTTTCCGGCATTCCTTCTTTTCTTCTGTATTGGGTGCCAAAAATTCTTCAAATTCCCTCTGATAGGGGCTGAAATTTCAACTTTTTCCGGACCCCTTCCCTCTTTGCTGGGAGACAGGGTGCATACACCCCCAGACTTTCCCCACGGAAGTGAGGACAGAAGATATAGGGGAGACCCGTGCTGCAGACAGCTCCTACAGACCCAAAAATCCTAAATCTGGCTCTGGCGTGTAGCACCCCCTCGCCCTCTTTCCAAGTGTCAGAAAAGTTAATATAGTTCATATTGAACGCTAAAAGTCATTGTGATCTTCATTGTGTCATCATGGTTGACGAAAAATTGAAGAAAGAAAAAAGAATAAAAAGTGATCTTCAGCGTGCAGTAAATTGATGAATACAGCCATGCAAATAATTGATCGACTCTCATCGATATGATCGTCAGCCTCCTTGGAGAATGCATTCACCTCCGATTCCTTCGATATCGACAAAATGAGTTTTGTTAAAACGCGTAACCATGAAATTACATCGTGGACCACCTTATTATAAAACAGGTTGTCTACCACTTATGAAAAACCAAAATTGGGGACTTTTAGGGGTGTTTTTTTTCCAAGAAAATCGGGGACTTTTTTCCCGAAATGATAAGAGGAAGGGAGCTAGTTAGAGCGTTAAAAAGCGTGTTTTATACGACTAATTTTACAAGTCATGTTGAACCGATGAAAACTTACAAAAAACCGAGCAACGCTTCAGTTTTATTATTCCAGGTTATACCGCGCCGCCGCGGTTGGCGGGAAAATTTGAAAACGCTAGTGTTTAGGACGAATCTCGTCATTTTTTGGAGACCCGAACAAGAAAATTGGGGACTCTCGGGGATATCGGGGACACACTTCCAAAATCGGGGACATTGGCGACTTTTGGGGACCGGTAGACACCCTGTAAAACTTCCCTCCGGAGTTGAATCCCTTCTGTTTCTTTGATGACGTCCAAGCAATGACGTCATTTTGTTCCCCGTTCGATGCGTGTCAAAAGGGGACCGGCAACACGGCGAGAGGACAAAATAAATGAATCGCTCGTGAGTTTGTTTCCATAGTAAGGTTGGGAGGGTTTCATCGTGCGCGGTCCGGGCTGGAGAACCGGTATGGACGACTCGACCCCCTTCCTCCTCCCCCGCTGGGACGGGTGGGGTGACTGACCTCTTGGATGACGACTAGTCGGCTACGAAGCCGCCTCAGTTTCCACCGCTCGCTCTCGATCTCTAGGAACGCTCGACGAGGTTCGTTGCCGGGTTCAGCCTCTGCCTTTTGGAGAAAAAGACCTTTTCCTCGATGGATGCGCGATCTTGTCGGCACATCTGTCCTCACCCAGAGGCGGATCCAGCAATTTGGCAACACCGGATTTCCTCCATTTAAACCTATCCTAAATAATCGATTCTTGTCGGAGCACCTGGCCTCTCCAAGAATCGATACATTTCCATGGGTTTAAATGGAGAAAATACAATGTTGCCAGTTTGCAGAATCCGCCAATTTCCTAACCCGAAATTCAGACATGGCGGATCCAAACACTTCGAATGGGGGGTCTGGGGGCTTCCCCCAAATTTTCGAAATTTTAAAGCATGTAACATGCAGTTGAGCCAATTTTGTCATAAATAAATGCCAATTTTAAGCATCCATACTTCTTCTTTCTTCGTTTCTTCCGTCTTTCTTTCTCCTCTTTTTCGTCCCTCTTTTCTCCGTTCGCACCCCCCCCCCCCC